TGTAGTTTCCTTCCACGTTATCTCATTTGATCTTTCTAACAGCTTTGTGAGAGGGGTGGAATAGGCGTTAACATATTTTTTTTTCAATTTTTAAACAATGATTTCAGAGATGAGAAAATTGAGAGCAAAAGAAAATAAATGGCTTCTCTCAAGTCCCAAAGCTGGTTAGAAGCGGAGACCTGAAGTGAGGGCTTCTGATCCCAAAGGCAGGGCTCTCGTTCCTCCAGAAAAGCCAGGCCTGAGCTGTGGGAGCTCATGGACCTCTGCTGAGTACCTCAGAGGGAAGAAAGGTTGGGCAAATTTGCTGAGTTGATAAAGCTGTAAAAACCGCCAGGGCATCTTAGAGAAGCAGCCGAGATTTGACAAATGGAAGAATTGATGGGCTCTTTTTTAAAAGTAGCTTCGAGAAGCCAGCATCAGCTTACACCCATATGAACCATCTTAACGTGCCACCGAAGTTCCCTCCGTAATAGAGCGGAGAGGCGAACACACATTTTCCACAAGTGCTGAAGCAGCAGCCTGCGGCTGAGCACTAAGTGGTGGGACTGGATGAAAGACTTGCTTGTCGCCAGCTCCTGTGTCAGTAGGTGCCCGGTGATGACATTAAGGGCGTCTCTAAGTGCTTTGCCGCCGAGGGCCCGGGGACAGCACTTGGCACTCGGCTCACTCGGGCACAGTAGCCAAGGGTCTTCCGTGCCCCCAGGCTCCTTCCTGCTCCCTCCCTTACACTGAGTTTTTTGTTAGCAGCTCCAGTGAGGACAGGGAAAGAAAAGGAGAGTCTGCGACTTCCATTAAATATCAGCACATTGCATTTTTGGTGATGGCTCGTCGGAGGTAACGAGCGAAATCTGCTCGGTCACCATATTAGAGCAGCCTCTGACTAGACCTCCGACACTGAATTAGTTTTCTTCCTCCCTTCCTCTCATTTATTCTTGGTCTCAGCAACTATGTCCTGAAGATCTATTGTTATTTACTATGAAAAATACCGTGAGGCCCACAGAAGAAATGCAAAGTGGGATCTCTGGCCAGGGGGTGAATTTGGGGAGGGAAGAGAAGAGGACCAACTCACTGTGTGTTCGCTGTAGGCAGAATAAGGGTAAATGTGCAGTGAGGCCAATGCTTCTCTTGGTTGTTTATTGACTGCTTACCAAACGCTAAGCTGTGTGTTCTGGCGACAGAAGCAGAGAGAACAACTCAGACCTTGCCCCTTGAGGAGCTTATTGCCTCTGACAGTGTTTCCCAGGCAAGGCTCCCCCGCCACTTGCATTGGAATTAGCTGGCCTTTGTCTAAAGAAGCTGATGCCTGCTCAGATCGACACAATCAGAATGTTAAAGGTGGGCCCTTGAATCTCAAGTTGCTCCATGAGCACCCCAGGTGAATTTTTTTTAAGATTTTATGTATTTGACAGAGAGCAGAAGCAGGGGCAGCGGCAGGCAGTGGGAGAGGGAGAAGCAGGTTCCCTGCCGAGCAGGGAGCCCAATGTGGGGCTCGATCCCAGGACCCTGGGATCATGACCTGAGCTGAAGGCAGACGCTTAACCGACAGAGCCACCCAGGCGTCCCCAACCCCAGGTGATTCTTAAGCACAGGAGAGTCTGAGCATGATCACATGAGAGTCTGGCAGAGACAAACAAAGGGACCCAAACAGGTGTAGCTAGGGAGAGCTGTGCTGGGGGGTGCACAGGCTTGTGACTGCAAGGACCGGGGAAGAGGAACAGACACTGCTTGTTGGTGTCCTTCAGGATTGTGGCAGCAGAGGGGGGCACTGCACCCCCAGTCTAACACCGCGTCCAGAGTAAGGAAGGGGCCTATGGGAAATCACCTCAATTGTTCGGATCTTTGTTCGAACAGTGCCTTCCCGGAGAGGCCTGCTGTAGCCATGTTCTAAAAGGACTCTTGTCATTCTTTTTTTTTTTTTAACTTAAATTCAATTAATGGACATACAATGTATTATTGGTTTCAGAGGTAGAGTTCAGTGATTCATTAGTCTTATGTAACACCCAGTGCTCATTACATACGTGCCCTCCTTAATGTCCATCACCCAGTGACCCCATCTTGTCATTCTTCTTACTCGGACTTTTCTTCAGAGCACCTATCCTCTTCTGACGTTGGAGTTGTGTGTCTGTCTCATGTACTAGTGTAGAAGTTGTGAGGGACTGGGGGGTGCCTGGGTGGCTCTGTCGGTTAAGCCTCTGACTCTTGATTTTGGCTCAGGGCATGATCTTAGGGTCATGAGATTGAGCCCCACATTGGGCTCCAAGGGCATGGAGCCTGCTTAAGATTGTCTCTCTCCCTCTCCCTCTGCCCTTCCCACCCTCCAAAGAAGTTGTGAGGGACTTTGTCACTTCTGTCCACAGCTGTATCTGCAGTGCCTAGAAGAGTAGTTGGCACATCGTAAGTGCTCAATAAACACATAAAGGCACTTCTGGGAGGGCAGACGGATCCACACTGGCCCCATCTCTCAGCTGCTCAAATGATACTGCCCTCAAAAACTGCAAGAATCTCTAAGCTTCCTGTGGCCTTTCTGTCCCTTCTTGGCAGCTGGGAACATTGGAAGGAGCCACGAGCAGCCCTGACCTTGTTCTCCAGCTCTCCCTCACACAGAGACATTTGCATGGTACATCTCTCCCTGACTGGGGCCCGCAGAGACTTTCTCTTGCTGGTGTCTGAGTCCTGGGGAGCCTCCGAGCCATTAGTTTAATGTGAGGCTTCCTGGAATATCAAGAAGCTATTTCCAGAATTGAAGAGGGAGCTTTGGAGAGGTGAGTGTGGTCTGATAGAGGAAGGCCAACAACAGCTCTGGGGAGAGGAGGTCAGGACTCCAGAGCCTGCCAGGATCCTCTGGAGCCCTTGCCGCCAGGGAGGATGGGCGTGCAGTGTGTTGTCCTGTGCTGCAGCCCAGTTTTTCTGAAAGCCTTTTCACAAAATGTTCTGCATCACAGGTTAATGTATAAGACACGAGTTGTAAGTGGAAAGTTGGCAGAGTCCTTTGGAAATTGGCTAAAGGGCAGGAAATAAAGGGTAGCAATAAAAACCTAAAAGGATGTTAATTGGGGAGTGCCTCAGGGAACAGGGTTGAGACCAGCTTTTTATTATTTACATTAAAAATACTTGAGAATGGTTTTGAAAGGATTTTCTTGTTGGCTAATGAAACAGCATTAGGGAGCTGTGTGTGGAAATGTGAATAGTGGAATTAGGGAAGGATTCAATTTATTGATGGAATTGAAGCGAGTGTTTTCTGACATGTTTCTGTGTATCAGTCCACACCCATTCTGTTGGCTAGATTTCCCTTTGGGTAGTGGGCAGGATGACTTCAGCTTAAACAGCTCGAATCTCTACATATGTTTGGCTGGCAGAAAAGCACTGGAAGAGATTCTGGCACCTTAAACCCAGGGTAGTCCTGAAATTAAATGGATGTTATCTTCAGACCTGGAAATCTTTCCTGTAGAAGGAGCTAGAAGACAGATGGAATCTCCCACTTAGCTAGAGGCATAAAACTGGAACTGGAGTACCCAACATCATCTCCCCACCTCCCATAACACTTTTTATTCTGTGGAGTTTGGATTATTGCAGAAGTGTATTGTAGATAGACCCCAAGAAGAAGTGAGCAGTCTCTCTTAAGCAAAGTCATTGCATCCTGGCAATTACAGCGTAGTGAGCCAGGACTGGGGAGGCCAGAGCCAACATTTGCTGTCCTCTCTAAAGCCTGCCTCAGAGGCCTCACAGAGGCCACCAAGCCCTGGATCTCCTTGTTTGCGAGCCTGGGCCTGTAGGAATCCTCTTCAGCCTCGCTACTCAGAGTGCGGTCCCTGGACCCACAGCATCGGCATCACAGGGGAGTAAGCTAGACATGAAGCTTCTCCAGCCACACCCCAGAGCTGAATTAGAATCCACATTTTAGCAGGATCCCCAGTGGATTCCTAGGCACATTAGCATTTGAGAAGCACTGCTAGAACATTTGTGACACCCAGGAATCACAAGAAAATACAGCAAAGGGGATTTGATTGCTTCTGTGGAAGGAAAACTAGACCACATGAGTTCAGTGGCCTGAGGATAGAATTCTGGCATTTGGGACTTTCCAGTCTGCTGAAAACTGAAGATTCTCCTTGTTGTTTTCTTTAATTTGGCCTCATAAGGCAGAGTGCCTTCTCTAGGAGGTAAACTCACCCTTAAAGTGGATATCCCTTTTGAGAAAATGTTAAAAGCCAGTCCAGTACACCCCTGAGTTCTCTTCCCCTGAGTGTGGGCCATGCACTGGGCCACTAGCTAATTGTTACCACCTAGTTAGCAGGCCACAGAGGCGTGGTACCTGGAGGCTGCTTTTCATTTGAGCTCATTTTCCAAGGGCTCTGTGGGTAGGTGTGTGGTATTTTTGTTGTTTTCTGCTGCTGGGTGTAGGCTGTTAGTCCACAGGACCGCCCTATGTCAGGGTGGTACCTCAAACAGGTAAACCAGAAAGTGATTCATGTGAGCCCATTAAATAAGTGTGTCTCCTTCAGTCCTAGACAGATACACACAGAGCAACTACTAAAGATCTGAGGCTGGCTTTCTCTCCCCCACAGACAGAGCCCAGAACCAGGGAAATCTGCTATTCATCTTTATACTTAGAGCACCTGGCACAGAGCAGGCCCTTAGTTAAGTCTTTGTGGAATGGATGGATGTGGAAGGAGGAAGGAGGCAAGCCTCTGACTGCTCTTCTGGCTAGCACAGTATCGACTATAAGTATTGTTCTAGCTATGTCTCAGGCATTATTACATTTTCCATTCATTCTTCCTTGTCAACTATTAGGCCCCCCTGGTGAGCGCCATATGTCTATACGGCAAGTCTCCGAAGGAGGCTACCCCTGGCCACAAAGCTGGCTCCACAACCAGGTACCTTATAGTGCATACCTAAAAATACCTAGGCTAGATGGGAAAAGAGAAAGGAATTCAGAAGCTCATTTGTTGTGGGAAATAATGTGCTCCCAACCTCTTAAGTAGGAATATTCCCATTCTTTTCAGGTAAGAGTCTACGATCTCTCCAAATATGAGCATGGATCAGATGATGTGCTGATCTTGGCCACTGATGGACTCTGGGATGTTTTATCAAATGAAGAAGTGGCAGAAGCCATCACTCAGTTTCTTCCTAACTGTGATCCAGATGACCCTCACAGGTTTGTGCATTTCTGTGATGGTAGGGTTGTTCCTCGAGCCAGTTTTCATGGTGTGACTGAAATAAATAATCATGCACTTTCCATCATTCATGATTTGCTGTAGAGCTGATATGGATGGATTAGGAACCAAACTGTAGAAGGGACATTTCTTATTAGTAGTACTTTCACAGCCGAATAAAAATCCTCAAGATGAACCTAGATGCAAGTGGTAAAGAATTTGATTTTTTTTTTTTTTAAGATTTTATTTATTTATTTGTTAGAGAGAGAGAGCTTGGGCGAGAGAGAGCCAGAGTACGAGCAGGGGGAGCTGCAGGCAGAGGGAGAAGCAGGCTCCCTGCTGAGCAAGGAGCCTGATGCGGGACTCGATCCCAGGACCCTGGGATCATGACCTGAGCCGAAGGCAGCTGCTTAACCGACTGAGCCACCCAGGTGACCCAAAGAATTTGATTTGTAAGATACTTCAGCAGCATGTTTCTCACATTCTTTCTTTGTAATTCCGAAGTGAGAATAATCCAGTTTGTGATCCTCCTGTTGAGAGTAATACTAAATGCTCCCAGCATCGATTTTTATTCATTGGGAAATGATTTTTGGGAAACATTGAGAAAGGAGAGAATAATTAGAGTAGGTTTTCATTTGTAGGATAATGGCAGTGTAAATATCCCAAACAATTCTAGGTGACTCAGAAATAAACAGAAATCCCCTCGGGAGAAAGGCAGCTTTCACTTAGAACACAAGGAAACAAGTCACCATGAGAAAAAGCCAGTAGAAACAGCAGACAGTGGAGTGGGACCTATAAACAATTCATTCTTGAATTTATCAGTCAAAAATATAAATATTTTAACATTTCAGAAATGTTTTTTAAAGTGTTGAAAATAGGAACAAGGACAAGAGACTATAAATTGCACAGATTTTAAAAATAAGGAAATGGAACTTCTAGAGATTTATTTTTAAAATAAGAATTAAAAATTCAGTGCATTAAACAGATTAGAGATAAAACACTGGTGAGCTGGAAAATTGATCTGAATAGTCCAGAAAATGGCTGAGAGACAAGAGGGAAAATTAAAAAAAAAAAAAATGAGATTATGAGACTAGGGGAATGACCTAAGATGCTTGCAATAGAATTTCAAAAGGAAATACTGTAGATGAGAAGAAAAAGAAAAAGTTCCAGAATTGTTGATTGATAGTAAACTGAAGATACAGAAAGCCCAACAGATCTTGAGTAGAAGAAATGAAAATTATAAATAGGTATTTCATAATGAAACTGAAGAACTTTAAACAAAATAATAAAAGCAGTTGGAAAGAAAGACAAAACAGATCTATATAAATAATATTTAGACTATGAAAGCTGACTTTTCAGAAACAACAATAGGATCCAAAAGACAATGGAGTTACATCTTTAGTTGTCTAAGAATTAACATGAAAGTTTTTTTAACATACATGAAAGAATCTTCCTATGTAGTAAAAATACCATTAAAGAGGATAAATTAAAGACATTTTCAGGCAAAACACAACCTGAGGAATTTTAATGCCAACCAAACTGCTCTGAAGAAAATTTTCTAAAGGATGTACTCAGATAAGAAAAGGAAATGGTCCCAGATGGAAGATCTGAGAAGTAAAATGGATTATTAAGCTAGGATAGTAATAAATTTGTAGATACATTGGCTATATAAAACAGAAACAAGAACGTCTAATGTGTGGTACTAAAAATGATAGAATTGAGATACTAAATAAAAACAGCACAATAAATTGGCAAGGGGGGATAGCAAATCAGTTACAGAGTGCTGTGATTCTACTGGAAAAGAGGTTCTCTTAAAAGAGTTTAGCTTTAGATTCTAAATGTGTTTATTTATTTTATTTATTTTATTATGTTAATCACCATACATTACATCATTAGTTTTTGATGTAGTGTTCCATGATTCATTGTTTGCGTATAACACCCAGTGCTCCATGCAGTACATGCCCTCTTTAATACCCATCACCAGGCGAACCCATCCCCCCACCCCTCTGCCCTCTAGAACCCTCAGTTTGTTTCTCAGAGTCCACAGTCTCTCATGGTTCATCTTAAATATGTTTAAATAGCTAAGAAAACTATAAAACAAAAAGAATGTATAACTGTTAGACTAATCAAGGGAGAGAAAACCTACATGGAATCAGAAACCAAACTTCTAAAAATTTATAAATCAAAAAATTATAATAAAATTAGAAATTACTTGGGTTTGGGGGCACCTGGGTGGCACAGTTGGTTGGGTGTCCAACTCTTGGTTTTGGCTCAGGTTGTGATCTCAGAGTCATGGGATGGAGCCTCATGTCAGGCTCTGCGCTCAGCGTGGAGTCGGCTTGAGATTCTCTCTCTCTCGTGCTCATGCTCATTCTCACGTGCTCTCTCTCTCAAATAAATCTTAAAAAATAAATTACTTGGGCTTGAATAATGGGAAGAATACTACATATCAAAGCTTCAAAGGTTGAACTTTGAGTCTTTTTTTTTTTTTTTTTGGTCTAATTTAATGAGCTATGCATAGATGAAGACTCCAGTCACCCCTGACCTGCCAGAAATAGCTACATCCTCTCCATGTCATAAGATAGCACTTTCCAAGACTCCCCACTATAATACCAGGAACCCCTGGCCACAAGCTCTAGACTCCTTACCACAGGGAAAGATTTTCTCAGACTAGGACCTTGAGGACTGATGTGTGTTATGGGGCCATTTCTACCTATATTATCCACATAAATATGTACATAAGGCCTCTTATAACTTCTAGACTCTAGGAGCCAAAGGAGTGGAGCTATCTACTTGTGGACCATGTGTTCTTTTCCTGAGTGCAGGCCATTAGGAAACACCTGTCCTAACTTTAAATTTTAGGTCTGCGGTCCTTATTTCTATAATAGCATCTAATTTAAGAAGTGAAAATAGCAGAATAAACACAGAGTAATGGAAGGAAAAAATTATAGATAAGAAAATAGAGAACAAATATTGAATAAAAATAAATGATAAATGAATTTAGTGAAGTTGCAGGATACAAAATCAGTATCCTGAAATCTGTTGAGTTTCTCTACACTAATAACAAACTAGCAGAAAGAGAATGTAAGAAAACAGTCCCCTTTAAAATTGCATCAAAAAGAATAAAATACCTAGGAATAAATTTAACCAAGGAGGTGAAGACCTTACTCTGAAAACTATAAGACATTGATGAAAGAAATGGAAGAAGACGGAAAGAAATGGAACAACATTCCATGCTCATGGATTAGAAGGACAAATATTGGTAAAATGTCCATACTACTCAAAGCAATCTACAGATTCAGTGTAATCTCTATCAGAATACCAAAAGCATTTTTCACAGAACTTAGAACAAATAATCCTAAAATTTGTATGGAACCACGAAAGACCCTGAATTACCAAAGCAAGATTGAGAAGGAAGAACAAAGCTGGAGATCTCATAATCCCAAATTTCAAGATATACTATGAAGCTATAGTAATCAAAACAGCATGGTACTGGCATAAAAATAGACACATAAATCAAGGGAACAGAATAGAGAGTCCAAAAATAAGGCCACATTTTAATAGTCAATTAATCTACAAAGGCAAGAATATACAGTGGGGAAAGACAGTCTCTTCAACATATGGTGTTGAGAAAACTGGACAGTTACATGTAAAAGAATGAAACTGGGCCACTTTCTTACACCATACACAAAAATAAATTTAAAATAGATTAAAGACCTGAAACCATAAAACTCCTAAAAGAAAACATAGGCCATAAACTCTTGGCCTTAGCAATATTTTTCTGGATGTGTTTCCCCAGGTAAGGGAAACAAAAGCAAAAATAAATAACTGGGACTACATCAAACTAAAAAACTTTTGCACTGTAAAGGAAATCATCAACAAAACGAGAAGGCAACCTCCTGAGTGGGAGAAGATTTTTGCAGTATGATATATCCAATAAAGGGTTAATATCCAAAATATATAAAGACTCCTGTAACTCAACACTCTGAAGGAATAAAAGACAAAAAAAAATGCGTAGAGGACCTGACTAGACATTTTTCCAAAGAAGACTTACAGGTGGCCAACAGAACATGAAAAGATGCTCAATATCACTAATCATCAGAGAAATGCAAATCAAAACCACCATGAGATAGCACCTAACAACAGAATTGCTAGTATCAAAAAGATAAATAACAAGTTCGGCAAGGATGTGGAGAATTAGGAAACCCTCGTGCACTAATGGTGGGAATGTAAATCGGTGCTGCCACTGTGGAAAACAATATGCAAGGTTCCTCAAAAAATTAAAGACAGAAACACCATATGATCCAGTAATTCCACTTCTGGGTATTTACCTGAAGAAAATGGAAACAGTAGATCAAAAAGATACATTCATCCCTCTGTTTATTGCAGTTTTACTTAGATTAGCCAAGATATGGAAGCGACCTCAGTGTCCACTGATGAATGGATAAAGAACATGTGTATATATACATAGAAAAGGGGGGATCTTGCCATTCTCAACAACATACCTGGAGGGTATTATGCTAAGTGAACTAAATCCAAGAAAAACAGATACCATATGATTTCACTTTTACATGGAATCTAAAATACACAACAAATGAACAGACAAACAGAAACAGATTCATAAATATAGGCAACAGACTGATGGTTGCCAGAGCGGATGGGAGCTAGGAGAGAGGAGGAACAGGTGAAGAGGATTGAGAGTTGCAAACTTCCAGATATAAAATAAATCATGGGGATGAAAAAGTACAATATAGGCAGTATAGTCAATAATATTGTAGTAACGTTGTCTGGTGACAGATGGTAACTACCCTTACAGTGAGCATTTCATAATATATAATTGTCAAAGCACTATGTTGTGTACCTAAAACTAATATAATACTACATGTCAACTGTACTTCAATTAAAAATTTAAATTTTTTTTTAATAATAAAGTCAAAGTTTATTGTTTAAAGCAACTAACACATTAGGAAAATGCAAATTAAAACCACAGTGAGATATCACC